AGAGTCAATCTCACATAAAAAGTGAGACCCTGTCCAAAAAAAAAAAAAAAAAAAAAAAAAAAAAAACAAAAAAAAACAAAAAACCCCAGAAAGATAAGAAAGTTCTCTTCCTAGTTTTCTTTTCTTTTTTATTTTTTTGTACCAGGGATCAAATTTGGGACCTTGCACTTGTGAGGCAGGTGTTGGAACCACTAAATCCCCAACCTAGTTTTCTGATAGTTCTTATCATTAGTGCATGATGAAATCTATGACAAGTGCTTCTCTAAAATCTATGGAGGTAATTATTTTCTTTTTTTCTCCCTTTGTTTATGTTCTGAATATATATTGGTAGATTTTCTGATATTTATTTATTCTTATATTTCTAGGAGAAACTACTTATGGTTTCCTCTTTTTTGTCTTCCAGCTTTGCTGAGCATTTTTGCCCATGTTCATAGGTGAGATTCCCTTTAACTTTCTCTTCTGATACTAACTTTAAATCCATCTCTCTCCCTCTTTCTGTCTCCTTCCATGGTACTGGGAATTGAACCCATCCTTGCACATTACCAAGTGCTCTACAAGCCCTGGCCATCCTTTTCTGTTGTTTAATTAAATGTCCTACAGTTATCCTGGCTTCATAAAATGAGTTGGAGAGATTACCCTTTCTCTCTACTTCCTAGAACAATTTGTATCGTGTAAGGATTATCTTTCTTTCATATTTGGCAGAAGGTAAAACCATCTGTCTAGTAATTTATATGAGTGGGAATGGATTTGCAGGGCTTTGAAAGAGAACAACCAATCCAATTTGCTTAATGTTTTAGGTCTGTTCAGATATTTAGCCTCTTTTTTAGTAAGAGTAGGTAATATTTTCTCTATAATTTTTTTCTTCTTTTCTGAATTCACACTTATCAGTATAAAACTATGCAGTATTCCCTTACTTTCTCACAATTTAAAAAAACCTCAGTTCTATCCGCCTTTCTTTGTTTGTATTTTCACTTCCTTTCCTCCCTTTTTTTCCTAGTTTGCCAGATATATGTTTTTCAGGAACCAGTTTTATTTTCTTATTTATTTAAAAATCATGTCTACTGTTTCTTTGTTTCCTGTTTCTTTAATCTGTGCTTTTATTGCTTCTAGCTTCTCTGGATTTCCTTTGTGGTTCTTTTTTTCATCTTCTTGGGTTGAATGCTTGAATAATTAATTTTCAAATTTTCTTCTTTTCAAAACAGAAATTTAGAGCTATAAAAAGACCACTACGTATTTCTATGACTGTTCATTTAATTTTATTATGCAGTATTTTTATCATTATTCATGTCTAAATATTTTTAAATGTAAAACTATTTTAAATATTTGAATGTAAACTTCCTTAAGTTATTTATTATTATTATTATTATTATTATTATTATTATTATTATTATTATTATTATTATTTGGTACCAAGGATCAAACTTGGGACCTTGTGCTTTTGAGGCAGGTGGCAGAACCACTGAGCTAAATCCTCAGCCCTTCCCTAAGTTATTTAGAAATATATTAATAGCCAGGCATGGTGGCCCACACGTATAATCCTAGCATTCTTGGAGGCTGAGGCAGGAGGATCGTAAGTTCAAGACTAATCTGGGCAAGATCATGTTTAGCAAGATCATGTTTCAAATAAAAAAGGGTTAGGGGTGTAGCTTAGTGTGAAGGCACCTGGGGAGCACCCAGAGATTATTTGTTGGGTGGCTGGTGCACCCTGTGAAACCACCAACTGCTTAGCTCTCACTGGGGTCACCGGTTCCCCCAGGCTGGCTTTGGGCCCTCCTAAGGACTTTGAACTTGGGGCTAGCCCCTGCCCGCTTCATAGCTGGGATGCTGCAAACCTTGGAATGGCTCTGCATCTGGGGGAAGAGACCCTAGCTCATACTGTGAAATTGCCACCACTGGTCCCTGAGGCCGCTGGCTTCTGACCTGGGAATGGGCCTCTTGGCCTTTTCTGATGTTTCTGTCCCTTTAGGGTAGTGGACCCTGGGCATTGAACCCTAGGGCCTTTCCAGTGAGCTACATCTCAAGGCTGCTTTGTTTTGTTTTAACAAATAAAAAAAAAATTGAGACAGGGTGTTTCTAAGTCACTCAAACTTGTAATCCTCTGGCCTCGGCCTACCAGAGTGCTGGAATTATAAGTATGCACTGCCACACCCAGCTTCCTTAGGTGTTGAATTTAAAATATTTCTGATTTTTTTTTTTTTCTGAGCAAAAAGTGGTAGCAAAGTTTATTTGAAAAAGCAAAGGTGAAGGATAAGGGAGAATCTGGCTCTATAGAGAGAGTTTGGGCCAAATAAAAGAAGAAAAGGGCTGGGGATTTAGCTTATTGGTTTCAGCGCCTGCTTTGCAAGTGCAGGGACCTGAGTTCGATCCCCGGTACCAAAACACAAAACAAAAAAAGAAGAGGAAAATAAGTATATCCTACAGTAGAAGAGTGGGCTAATGCTAGAAAAAACAGTGGCAAAACTCCATATGGACTGTCCTTTTTATAGCACTCATGCCTCAGGCTGACTGATTTTAGATTTTATCGCACTCTCTCTCTCTCTCTCTCTCTCTCTCTCTCTGTCTGCTCCCTCCCTCCCTCTCTCTGTGTGTGTCTACATTAGGTAAGGTTTAAAATATAGAATTGATCTTGTCAACCCTGGTGTTTTGTCCTCTAAGGCCTCATTGGAATGTTTGTTTATTGCACAAAGAACACTGAGATGTGTTCTTTCCTGTGACTATGAAGAGGCTGTTTCTCCTTGCACATTAAACATCTTTAGATTTTACACAGATAGATACCTGTACCAATACAATTTTATTTGGAAGGAAGACAATATTTCCCTGTGCTTACTCTATAATATCACTGTATATCCTTAAATGATTTTTCTGTGTGTATATTTATATATGTCTCTTTTTTATAAATGAAAATATATTGCCCAGTTGTTTCATAAGCTACTTTTCCAAAAATTAATTGTATAACTTCTGAAAACGTTGCTACCAATGTTCCTTGGCTGTCACCTTTGTCCCTGCTCTGCCATTTCCTCCGAGGTGGCGGGCACCAAGTAAGTCAGGTCTCATGAACTCCTCACGGCGGGGAACACTGTGAGCTAGGTCTTGCTATCCCCCTTCCTTACGAGATGACGCTCCGAGAGGCTGAGACACTGGGCCCAGTCTCTCAGCTGACTTGGCAGAGCAAGTCTCCCACAGGGTCTAGTAGGTGGCACTGCATCTGCCTCTAACCATGGAGCCTGTAAAGAGCAAGACCATAAAAAGCAAGCATCTCACCTGGCCCTGGATGTGGAGCTCTGTCCTTCAGAGAAGGGTGCCAGCCCCTGGTGGCTCTGGTCCCTGGAGGCCTGGAACTCCGGGTCCCCCGAGATGTTACTGCCTGTCTGGATGCTACTGAGCCTCGGCTGTCTTGCCAGGCAGGGCTGCTCACTCTCAGTGGCCTCAGAGGAGTCCTTTCTCCAGGACCCTGGAGGATCTTGGCTCTGCTCCCTCTGAGAAGTAGGAAGGGAAGCTGGAGGTTTAAGTGCAGGCAGGGCGCTGCCTCACTCACGTCTGCCTCCCCAGGAGGGTACCTCAGAGCCTGGCCTGGAGGAACCAGATGGGTTAATGGGCCTCACAGGTGTGGCCCTACTCACTGCCTTCCCAGGGGAAGTGAAAGATGAAGCTGGGGGACTGAGAAGGAGGTGCACCCTTTCCTGAGACATCCTGACAGCACCTCCCTTCCCAAAGGCTTCAGAACATTAGTAGGCCCATTGTTGGGGAGCTGAGATGGGGCGGGAGAGGGAGGCCCCAAGGGGCTCCTCAGGGCTCTTGTGGGCTGAGAGAGGCCATTACAGCTGCCTTTGCTGCTTGCCCGGAAAGGTGCTTGGGCTGGTGGGCTCGTGGGGCTCCGCTTCCTAGAAATGGGAGGTCCCTGATAGGCAGGATGGAGGCTGAAGTTTCACCTCTGCCATTTAGCCTGTGAGAGTCTGGGTGGGGAAGGCGAGTGACAGACACCCTAGGGGGATCCAGAGCCATTGTGGGTAGTTTCCTGCCCTACAGATAAAGAAGATATAGGCACGGGAGACATTAAGCATCTCTGACAAAAATGTGAGTGGAGAAAGAAAAGTGGGCCTTTGGGCCCCCAAGGCTGCTTGGACACCCAAGGCCAGGATGCATGGCTCATTATTCTGTTTACTTGGTGCCCCTTGCCTCCAGGAGAGGTAGGGCCAGACTGACACCCAGCCAAGAGAGGAATTCCAGGCCTTAGACCCGAAAGACAGAGGGCACGAGCTTCCTGAGGTAAAAGTTCTCATGTTCTTGCATGTTCTACGCCCAGGACATTGCCCGGCACAGAGAGATGCTCACATACCTAGACGAATTGCTGGTTGGTGACAGGTTCCCAGGATTCAATCCTCTACCTCCAGCTCTTCTTGGATACCTGGCCTCATCCACACCTGGATTTTTTAGTGATACCTGGATGAAGTAGAGCCAATTCATCCCAGTGGGCCTGTGTGTGTGTTTGTGTGTGTGTGTGTGTGTGTGTGTGTGTGTGTGTGTGTGTGTGTGTGCTTGAACCCAGGGCCTTGCACATGCTAGTCAAGAGCTCTACTACTGAACTACATCCCAAACCCTTTTGATTTTGAGACAGGGACTTGATAAGTTGCCCAGGCTGGCCTCAAACTTGAAGTCTTCCTATCTCAGCCTCCTGAGTATCTGACATACCAGACATACAGCATGAGGCCTGGAAATTGTATGTTGTTTTTCTTGTTTCTCTTTTCAAGCTGGAGTTTTTGTTTTGTTTTGTTTTGTTTTTTAAACCAGGAACCAAACTCAGGAGCTTGTGCTTGTGAGGCAGGTGTGGTGCCACTGAGCTAAATCCCTGGCCCTGGAGTTTCTTTTCTTTTTTCTTTTTTTTTTTTTAAGTAGATTGTTATTTTATTTTCCCTTCCATTGTGAAATATGTGTCGAGAGCAGTCATCATAGGGAACTGTCACGGCCTGAATTGGGTCCCTCCAGATTCATGCTGAACCTTTAGCTCCCTGCATCTCAGAAGGGGCTGTATTTGGGGATAGGGACTTTACTGAAATAACTAAGTTAAAATAAAGTCATCAGAGTGGGCCCTGATCTAATCTGATTGGTGTCCTCAGAAGAAGAGGAAATGTGACCACTAGCATGGGTGTTTATAGGGGGATTCCCAGGTGAGGACATGGGGGTCTGCAAGCCAAGGAAAGGCCTCAGAATGTCCAGCTGGGCCAACTCCTGAACTTGGACTCGTATCTCCAAGATTTCAAGAAAATACGAAAATGCTAGCAGGGTCCCCACTCAAGGGGAAACGTGTGGGTCAGGTGAAGACAATGGTTGGCACTGAGTTTGGTGCTGGGAGGCAGCTCTGCAACAGATCAGCCATCTCTCCTTTGGCAGGGAGGCAGAGTCGTTTTCTACTGTAAATAATACAGCTACAGATTTTGGGCAGGAGTGTTGTAAAAATGTATATGGGAAAGAAGTGGGTGTGTGAATGACAGGCCACGAGGGGAGGAAAAGACAATCCCCCAGCTCTGCCTGCTCGCCATTCCCCATGCTCAGTCCATTGGGTTTGGGTGTGACTGGTATCCTCAGCCCTCCTGCTTGCACCTCCAGGGGAGATGACCCCGGCCTGGGCAGAAGGGGTGATCATCAGGACTGTTGTTGAAAGGATCAGGAAGGGCTGCCCTCTTTCACTGAGATTGGAGCATTTGTAGAATGTGACTGCAGGAACTGCTGGTCACCAGCCACCCAGTGTATTCATTAACAGTCGACTTGGACCGGAGCAGAAACAAGCAACAGAAAACAGAGGGGCCTAGACATCCTTTAAGTTTCTAGCAGTGTCTGATGCTGGAATCACTTCTGGAACCTTCTGGGTATGTGAGTTAGTACATTTCTTTAAATATGAACATATACACTCTACCCCTGCCAAGATCGATTAAACATGGGTTTCTGTTTCTTGCCACCCACAATCCTGGCTGACAGGGTACAGTCTGCCTGGGAGGTGAGTCAACAGCAGCATGAAGCAGAGAGGATGGTTGCCGTGGGTGGTGGTGCTGGATTAACAGCCAGTGGCACTGGACTGATGCCTGACAACACCAGGAAACCTTGAAGGGGGTGATGGAAATGATCTCTCGGGAGCTGAAAACACCCTGGGTATTGATTTGGTAGTGATATTTGCATATAAACGTTGGTCAAAGATCACTGAACTATATCATAAGTGGTTGCGTTTCGTGGGTTGATTAAATTAATTGCAAAGACTTTTCAACAAATCTGCCCAAGTAGGTGAGCCTGTCCTTGAATCGCCAGGAAACTCTGGGCTGGCTGGCTGACTCATCAGAGCAGTTTTTCCGTGAGTTTGAATTTTGTGAACTGTACCCTGTTCTTTCCAACTGCAACTTTCAAGCTTCTCCTGACACAGAATATTCTTTTTGCAGTTGCGCTCTTGGTGGCTTTGATTTGGGAAGTGCTCTGCAAGGTTTGCCTTGCTTTCTGGGCCAGTCCCTGACAAGCCAAAGGGCACATTTCCCCAGCCTGGGCTTCTCCTGGGAGGGTGACTGGGTGGGCCCATGTCTCCATCTACCCCCCTAATGGGCCCGTGGTTCCTGGGAAGGAGGAGTTGTCTTGGCTGAGGATTCTGAAGCAAGCAACGCAGATACGAAAAGATCTTAGCTTACATTTTCTGGCCTAGAATATGAAACCCAAGTTATCTGAAAATCACAGCTGGCAGGGCAGCTGGGAGAGCTGGGCTGATGCCAGAGGCATTGGTGCCTTTGGCCAGGATAGAGCACGGAAAGTGGAGAGACCTAGGCCACGGGCCACTTGCTGTCTCCCAAGCACCCGCTTCCTGTTCCCACTTTGCTTCTTCTATGGAGCCTGAAACAGAACCACTTCCTCCTTTGGCCTTGCTAAACTATGAATACCACACTCAGGCCCATTTGGGTTGACCTGGGGCTGTGATGGGCACGTTCACTCCATCGGCTGCCCAAGTGTAAGTCTCAGTGCTCTGCTGCTAGGAAGCACTGTGGTCAGACGCCTGACCCTCCAGGGCCACAAGACGGCCACCATGGGGGAGCTTTGGGTGCTGACATGAAGCTCCAAAGAGGATTGGACCTGGGATGACTGACCCTGGACAAGAAATTCTGTTTGTGAGCACTGAATTCCATAGCTGTTACTAACAGATCCTGGATGCCTGGCCAGGTCCCTCAGGTGTGCTGGGCACAGCCAACAGGTACTTCATGCAACTCTATGAGATCTGTGAAATAGTGTATGGGGAAACCGAGGCACAGCAAGACTTAGGTTCCATGAATAGAAGGTAGCAGCCCTCTGCCTCCCTGGGGCTTGCTCTTGACTTTCCACATTTGGCCTTGTTTATCCCTTGCATGATCCAGAAGAGTGTGCATCTCTTCTTGCTTATTTTTGTAGAGATAGCATGAGATAGGAAGTATGAAAAGAGTATGGTGCTGCCCTACCCCTTGCTCCAAACCCAGCTCTCCCTGTCATGTGCTGATAGAAAGTTGGACTCAGTAATAACCAGCCTATCCCAGACCAATCCAGAGGAGCTTTGCTGCAGAGTTTCAGGATAGAGATCTGTGGTGCTTAGGCAACCCCAGCTTCCTGCCTGTACCAAATGCCCAGAAAGAAGGAGCTCAGGGGCCCACCGGGAACCAGTTGACCTCCCTGACTGAGAGAGCTCCCAGCCTATTAATGGCATAGAGAGAGGTGCCCAGGCACGGGGACTCCAGGACAAAGGGGTAAGAGAGAGGCAGCTACCTGCTACAGGGAGCCCCTGTGGGCTCTGTGACCTTTCTAGGATGGAATCAGCCACTACAGGGCTGGGTGTGGAGATGAGAGCTAAGGTTCCTGGGGTGGGGGCCTGGGGACATAAACCGATGACCACCAGAAAGAGGGGTAGGCAGGATTAGGTGTAGACAGGGTCAGTTGGAGAGGGAGGAACGCTGGAGGTGTGGACAGAGCCAGCCAGAGGAGGAGGCCCCAGAGCTGAGGAGTGGGCAGGTGGCTCAGGAGAGATGGTGGGGAGGGCTGTCCACCCTGGGCTCCTGCAGTCCTTATCCTCACCGTCCTCAATGTGAGCGCGCACAGAGAGGATGTGTGCAGTAAGCTGCCTAACCGCCAGATATAAAATCTTCATGGATATACATTTTATTGCCTTTTATAAAACTTCCTTTGGCAACACAGTGCCACTGTGCTTGTTAACGGGCACTACAATGCCAGTCCTCAGGTGGGCAGGGTAGAGCCAGAGCCCACTTTCAGGTGGGTGCTGGAGCCCAGGGACTCTGTCCAGGAGCTTCCCAGATGGTCCACACTGGCCTGGGGGACACATGGGGTGCCCAGGACTGGCCAGGCACAGAGGCAGGGAAGGCAGTCAGCAGCCCAAGACGTATGAAGGTCCTGTTTCAAGGGGTCCAGCTGGGCCAGTCATTTCCCCACTAAGTCACCGGATAACTCATTAAGGGAACCCGGATGTTGTTTCTGGAGATACTTGGTTACACAGCAGGTTAACAGGACCCTTTGCCCGAGAGTACCAGCTCCAAAGCTGCCTTGTCGGGGCGGACTCCCTTGTCTGTTGGGGGTGGCACTGGATGAGTCACTTTCAAGGAGGGCTGACCAAAGGGGCTGGAGGTGGATGGGCTGGGTGACCACCTCCTGTCCCTTACTGACCAGCCCGGAGCACATGGACCTCACCTTGTGGGGGCAGCTCTGGTACCATGGGTCACTGAAGAAGGGTGGCTGGTGGGAAGAGGCACAAGGGGCTGGAGACAGACCTTTTCCCTCCACCTGGGCATGGAGGCCGCTGCCTGTTGTAGTCCTGTGGAAGGGCATCTCTGAAGGCCACTGTCCACCCCTTGTCTGTCCTGCCCCAGGCGCGGGCTGCTCAGGAGGTGTTCCCAGAGGGGCACTGCATCTCCATAGTGACAGTGTTGGGTGTGCTGCCCGAGGCCTCCCCAAGCTCGGCGCCGTCCCGCAGGGCCCGCTGGAAGACCACCCTGAGCGGTTCCCACAGCCGCTGCGACTTGTCCCTTCCAGTCAAGAAGTAGACAATGGGCTTGGCACAGCTGTTGATGCAGATGCAGAGGTCGGTGACATACTCAGGGAAGGGGGCCGGGATCTGGAAGACCCAGAAAAGAAACCAGTCGATCCCCAAGTAGATGGAGGACACCAGGAAGACGGAGACCATGGCCAGGATGACGTGGTTGAGCTTGGCAGACCGCTGGCGCTGCCGCCCACGACACTCCACGTGCAGAATGAGGGCCAGGCAGGGCAGCACCATGAGTGGGCAGAAGAAGAGGAAAAGCAGAACGCCCAGAGAGATGTCCATGTGCCTGCAGGTCGCCCCAGAGGCCTCGCTGCCCAGGAATACGCAGAAGTAGTTGTGGATGCCGGAGACCAGGAGGGACAGAAGCCAGAGCAGGGTGCACAGTACCGCAGACAGGCGCTTGGGCCGCTGGCGCCAGTACCAGGAGGGAAAGATGACGGACACGCAGCGCTCTGTGCTGACGGCAGGCAGGAGGCTCACGCTGGTGACAAACGTGCAGAGCCCCACGATCCGGCATACGCTGCGAGTGTAGTCGGCAAAGGGGCCCAGGAAGCCCCCCGTGTTCAGCAGTGAGAACACAGCCTTGCTGAAAAGGTAGGCGCCGTCGGCACTGGCCAGGTGCAGGAAATAGATGGAAAAAGGGGTCCTCTTGATGGAGAAGCCGAAGAACCAGAGGACCAGCCCGTTGCCCACCAGGCCGCACAGGCAAAGCAGCAGGAAAATGTAGTCCATGATGGCCGGGGGCGGTGGCGCGACCATCTGCTCAATGGTCAGGAAGCCTCGACTGTAGACTTCTGAGGCCTCGCCCCCGCCGGGACACATCTATGCAGGTGCAGAAGGGAGACACTGGTGACAAGGCTGCCCCTCCCTGCCCCGCCAGACCTGCATCTGCAGCTGGGTCTGGTGGTCCCCATTAGATGCTCGTGGGAAGGTCTGACTGTGGCCAAGCAGAAAACAGCCCCTTTGTCACCCGACACTCACAGTTTCCCAGATGCTTGAGCTATCGGTACAGAATGGCGTGCCTGCAGCTGTGACACACAGCAGTCTGCCACCTACAGGGGCTCCCACTGTCCTCCGGTTAGAAGAGCCTGTCTGAAGAGGCCCGTGGCATGCAAGATTAGGAGAAACGGGAGTCTTGTGGGAGACCAAAGAGACCAGACTAATGAACTAGTGCTGTGACCCTAGGACCTAAGCAATTGCTACCAAAAGACGGCCCACAGGAGAAGGTGAGCGCCGACGATGTAGAGACAATGGTGTTGCTGCCATGTTACACTGTTGGAACATGGAAATGGACTCAGACGGGGGAATGTCCTTGTTCTGGGAAGATCCTGGCTGTTTGGAAGTTATGGAGCTTGGGGGAGGGTCTGTGATTTACTTTTAAGTGATTCTAGAAAAAAAAAAAAACTACGCATCAAATGAGGCATAGAAAGTATTTGTGGGGAAAAGTTGGCAACAAATGAAGGGACGTGAAGGGTGTAGGGACTTTCACCTCCTTAGTTGCAAACTGCTCTTTCAGTGTTTCAAAACAAAAATACAAAATATTTACTTCTAAAGAAGTAAAATCCAGCTAGACATGGTGACTTGTACCTGTAATCCTAGCTACTTGGGAAGCCGAGGCAGGAGGACTGCAAGTTTAAACCTAGCCTGAACAATTAACCAAGATGCTGTCTCACAATAAAAAGGGTTAGGGATGTAGCTCAGTGCTCCCTGGGTTCAATCCCCAATACTAGGAAAAAAAAAAAAAAAGAAAAGAAAAGAAAAGTGGACTCTGGCCATAGCTGAAGTAGGACTCTGCCTCAGAGAAGGACCAGACAGAGCAGGGATCCGAGGCAGTGTCAGGATTCCGGATTGTAGGAAAGCCCAGGGGATCCCTGGAAAGGGGAAAATGCTTGTGACATCTGCTATTCAACTAGCTACAGGAAGCTGTTAAAAAAAAAAAAAAAAA